TGCAATAGTCATGACTTTTACAGAGAAATCATGACCTATGATTAATGAGTGTTTATGACTGGATATTTTCAAAAGCTGTGTTACCAAAATCCTTCACGGTTTTAATGGCAAGAAGTCACACTGGCTACAGCGTGATGGATGTTAGTATGTACAGTACTGCCTGTGATGTGCTGGTAGATGTTTTGCAGCTGGTTCGGGGTGGTGGTGGCTGACCCTGGTCTCTGGCTGGCACCTGTGCCTTATTGGCATTTGTGGTAGCAGGATGGAGCAGGTGGGCAGGGTAGTGAGTAGCACAGCATTACTGCTGCCCTACCTGGCAGGTACAGTAGACCCCAGTAACCTCAGAAACACAGCCAGTAGGGAAATGTGCTAAAGTACTTAGGACGAAATAACGAGTTTGAGAATAGCCTTTTGTAGAAAGAACTCACTTTAAACAATATTTTTTACGCAGTTTTAGTTTCCTAGAAAACTGAACAGAAAGTACAGGTTTCCCACAAACTCCTCCCTAAAACACACCCCCACATCAGACCACAGTGGTGACTTTATTAAGTGAACCTGTGCTGATGCTACTTTGTCAGCCAGAGTTCCTGGTTGATGTCAGATTCACTCCTGCTCTGGTACTACCATTGTGGTGTCATATGGAGTAGATTCATGGTATAGTCACATGGAATAGGTACTCGAGTTCTTGCCCCAAACCTGTCGTCCCTCCTTTTTCTCAGCCAAGGCAACCGCTGATCTTTCTCCTGCTGCTATAGTTTTGCCTTTCCCAGAGTGTCATACAGCTGGAATGAAGCAGTCAATAGCCTTTTCAGACTGGCTTCTTTCCTTGCATTTAAGGTTCCTCCATGTCTTTTCATGGCTATTGTGATAAAATGTATAAAACAAAATTTACTATTTTAATCATTTTTGAGTGTACAGTGGCATTTAGTGTATTTACAGTGTTAAGCAACTATCACCACCATCTCTTCCAGGATGCTTTTATTATTTTAAAATGAAGCTCTATATCCATTAAACGGCAAAACTCTATACACACGAAACAGTAACTGTCCCCCTCCCTGGCACCTTGTGCTTCCTGTCTCCATGATTATTCCTGCTTTAGGTACTTCATTTCAGTGGAATCTTATGTGTCCTGGTGGCTAGCTCATTTTACAAAGCCTTTTGTCTTCCCAACTTATCCACATGGTAGCATGTATCAGAATGCCATTTCTTTGTAAGACTGAATTGTATTCCATTGCGTGGATAGAGCACATCTCATTTATATATTTAGCTATCAGTGGACATCTGGATTGTGTCCACCTTGGGCCTGTTGAGTGTAATGCAGCCATGAATATGGGTACATAAGTGTTGGTTTGAGGCCCTATTTTCATGCTTTGGGGTATGTACCTTGGAAAAGAATTGCTAGATCATGTGGCAGTTGTATATTTAACTTTTTGAAGAACTACTGGGGCCTGCACAGATCACACCTTCCACATTCCTGCCAGCCCTGGCCAGCGTTCTGGTCTCTTCACAGTCTTGATAGTGCTTGTTACTTTTCATTTCTTAAAAAGAATAGTCGTCCTTATAGGTGTGAAGTATATTACTTTTGTGTTTAATACACTGTATTTAATTGTGGATTTATGTACTTTAACTTTAATAGTGGCTATGTTTAACAACAGGAAACAAGAAATTCCTACATATTCCATAGTAAGCTCTCACAAAAGTATGTCTTCCAGTACTACAGTATGTGTGTGTGTGGGTGCATGTATGCATGCACATGGGTATATTTTTTAAGCACTATTTACTTTGGGATATAGAAACCCAATTGGATAAACATTTTTAGGATGAGAGCAGATGTTCCTGGCCTCTGGCATGAGCTCTTAAAGCTACCTGAGGACCAGCAGAGCCTCTCATGTGTACCGTGGCCTCTGATGGGTGCTGCACTGTTTTCCCTGGTTTCTCTTTAGCTTTTCGCTTTCTCCTTGGGTCCTTGGTGGCGTGAGGCTGGATTCCAGAGGAGAAGCCATTTCTCAGTGTTGCCTCTGACATAGACATCTCAGTGGGGAGGAGTTTGACCCTGAGGGAACTGCTCAGCCAGGGCACAGCCCACCCATGTCATCTGGGGCTCTAAATGGCAGATATACTGTGGTGTTTAGATGATCTCAGTTCCAGGTGCCTGGGAAGCAGGCGGGAGGGCCTTGTGCGCAACCCTGGAGCAGGCGTGTGCAATGGTGACTGAATCTGGCCTCGTGTGGATTGCCTGCTGGGCTTGTGGGAGTAGCAGAAAAGACAGCACTGTGTGCATGTGTGTGTGCATGCGTGCGTGCGAGATGCTATGTGGCATGTGTGAGGGAGAGGGAGTGCTGCCACTCTGAGATCCTGATGCCATTTGCATCCCACAGCCTTGGACCTGTCCTTGAGCCAAGCCTGCTTGTGGCTAGAGTGTGCCACTGGCAGCTAACATCAGGGCTTCCTTCACGTTCTTGTTTAGCAGGTTTATTTTGTAAGCACTTTATTATTTTTTTATGAGCTCAGAATTGCAGAAATCCAAGGAATCTGCCCCTTGACTTAGTTTCTGGCTGGAACAAACAGTAAACAGTTGGTGTGACACAAAGTATGGAGAAATTACAGTGATCAGTCTCAGTGTGTGCCCCCCATGGCATGTCAGCTGACATGGGCTGCGACCGCTGGAGACTTGGTGCCCTAAGCTCTGGACTCACCCTTTGCTTCTCGGAGTCACTCCTGAGTCACTTCCAAAGCCCAAAGCCCTGTAGTCTTAGCTTAGATTATATAATTCATCTTTCAAAGACAGGTCATGTAGCATCATGGCGGGTTCAGTGCTGCGTTCCCTTGCAACCCTGTACCAGGGTATTCTGTACTGCCTCTTGCCTGCTGTGATCACTGTGTGCTGCCTCTTTCCACTCGAGCGGTGGCCCTGGGAGAGGCATGTGGTTCCCTCTACCTTCTCATGATCACATCCGGAATAGATGGCACTTTAGTTCCAGTGGCCTCCTTTGTTTTCCACCTGAAAACAAAGCCTGTGGTTTATTATTTTTAAGAGAAACTTACATTACAGTCTCAAGAGCCTTGTAGTTGAGAGACTTTCTGGTCTTTTAGCTCAGTTCCCTTCCTCTGCTAGGCACCCAGAGCCAAGGGCAGCTTGCAGTTGCTGTTGGCTCCTGCCTGTGTAGAGCCTCCTGCTGCCAGAGTATTGACAGTCATGGCCGTTTTTGGAGGAGCAGAGTTTGGGTGCTGGATTTAACTGAAATCCAAAGGGAAGACAGTCACCCTGTTCCTGTTGTCTTTACAAGTTTTGCCCGATGGCCAGTAGTAAAAAAGCAGGGCAAACCAGTTGTGAAGCCAGCATTTCCTTCAGATGTTGTCATGTAGGAGGCACAGTGATGATGGCTGTGACCCTAGGGTGCTCCTGCTCTGCCTGGGGCGGCTGCACTGCTGATGGCTGTGTGGCTGTAAACTGCGTCTGTGGGTGGACCAGGTCTCCAGCCTGCCTCCCTCTGGTTTTTGGCCTGCCTGGGCCTGTGGGGTTCCCCGTAGTCCTTGGTCCTCTCACAGTTTCCTGCTGAGAGCCTGCAGTCCTTGGTCCTCCTACACAGGTTGAGGAGGCTGGAGCCCTGATCCTGTCCCCAGGAGCCACAGAGGAGACAGCTGTAGCCAGCACACATCTCCACCCACAGAGAGTGGCTCTCTCCGTACCCTCAGGGTTTCCAGAGAGCTGGCTCAGTGCCCCACATTGAAGTGTCCGGGAGTTCCTGAGGCGTGCACAGATGGTGCAGAGCGCCTTTGTTCCCGATCAGAGTGTCTGCAGGTGTGGACCCTGCTCTCAGGCTGCCGTGGGGCAGTAAACAAGATTTTATGTTGCTTTGTGACCTTGAGGTGGCCACTCGTGGGAAACCTGGGGAGTTGTCACACAGTTCCCTGGATCCTGTTGTTGCTGTTCAGAGGCCGTTTCTGCTCATGGCTTGTTGCAGTAAGCCTGCCCATGGAGGGCTGGCTGGCCTGGGGTGTTTGTGCATCACTGCCGTGGGGTCCTGACCTCTGCCCCCTTCTCTGGGGCCAAGTTAGGGAGGAGTCATTGCAGGACCTTTGGGTGGGAAGAGGTAGGAGTTACTGGGTACTTCATGGATGGATGTGAGTTAGCTGGGGTTTTTATTTGGTGTGGGAGATGAAGTATGGGTGTAATAACATTAGTGTCAGTGTTGATTAAAACGTTTTAGCCTATTTCAATCTGTGTCACCCAGTGTGTCCCATGGTTAGGTTCAGCAGGTAAGATTTCTGAGGGCATCAGGGCACAGACGAGGTATTTGCCAGCCCAGGAGTACCACATGGTGTGGAGGGGAGCCCTGGGGTGGGGGAACCCCCAAGCCATTTGTTCAGGCCTGTGCTCACGTCCTCGGTGCGGTTATAAAGGGCTCTGCCCACTGTGCTCTGCTGGGAGGGTTGGGGTGATGCCAGCTTTCTCGGTAGTGCCAGGTACTCATATTAAATTGGCATTTTTTTCTTCACTGGCTGTTCACCAAGTCTTGCAGATCTCTGTAGGCTCATGGAGAAACAGGAATTCAGATGTGCTACTGTTGCCTGACCAATTATGGCCTTAGCTCCATTTATTCCTCACAAGGGTGGTATAGTTCTCCTTTACCAGTGAGGTAACTGAGCTTAAAATGGTATGTCGAACCCCATGAGCACACAGCTGGCCACTGGTAGGGCTGAAATCAAGCTCATTCTGCTGAGAACAGAAAGTCAGTTCCACTTCTGCACTGCTTCCCTCCTGGGTTGTGTTGTCGGGGACCCCCGCCAGCGTCCCCTAAGAGTCAGGCACAGGCGGAAAGTGAGGTAGAAGCAGCTGCAGCAGTCAGCACCTTCCATGCTGAGCACTGGGACGTCAGCTTGCTCAGGGCTAGGAACTGGGGTCATTCCTGCATTTGGGCTCCTTTGGCCCTGGGAAGATGCTTGCATGGGGCTGTCTGAGTTTGGGTTTCAGATTTATTCTTGAATTTTTATTTCAGGACATAACTTGGCAAGATGAGCACTCTGCACCTTTCTCCTGGGAAACAAGGGTAAGTTGGATTAAGTTTAGATGTATTTGCCCTTTTAAAAAGAAGCAAGTAGCTATACATTTTCTGTCAGTGTTTGCTGGGCTCGGGGCTTTGGCCTCACTGCTGGGCGGAGGGCACAGGCCCATTGTCCGGGGAGAAGGTTGTGGGGAGTTCTGAGGCTCCTGTGTGGTTGGTAGGAAGTCAGGGTTACCGTTGGTACTGTCCGCCAGGCCCAGAGATGCCTCAGTGTTTCTCATGTGGCTCCAGCATCCAGCCAGCCTGGGCTCAGGGCCAGACCTGCGGGGCTTCTCTCAGCCTGTGCCTCTGCCCACCAGCACTGGGGATCGCGGTGGCCCTGCTCCCCGGGACAAAGCATTGATGAGTGACCGTATGTGGGCAGAAGTGTGTGAGGCTTGTAGATGCCAGCTTGGAGTGAGGCCTGACTCCCAGCCACTCATCCTCACCATTGCTTTTGCCAGAGTGGTGTGAGAGTGTGGAGCCCAGCTGGCTTCAAGGAATTCCCTGGTCTCTTGTGTCCCTGAGATGTGTGTTCCTGAGCAGGACAGTAAGACAAGAGAAGAAGGGAAAGGCCAGGGTGTGCTGAGTTCTAGGACATTCGGTGCTTGTGTGGGTATGTGTGTGCCCAGAACAGGGTTTAGATTGAGGTTGGACCAAGGTTTCAAGCTCTGATGCTTTAAGGGCCTGGTTTCCTGGGCTTTCACTTGTCCCTGCAGTTTCTGATCTGAGCTCCCGTCCCACCAGATGGGGATCCAGAAGGCCTGGGGTGGGTGAATCACTGAGGGCATCTGCACGGATCCTGGGAGGCCTCGTGTTCATTAGGAGCTGTGTGCTGAGATGTCCCACCGAGGTTCGGGTGGATGGGACAGCCACAGGCCCTGTACCTACAGATGGCATTTGGTACACAATTGCTGATCCTGGGGCAGCAAGCTGGCCCTGCATGTAGACACCTGGGCAGTTGAGATTATTCTCATGTGACAGGTGGTTGGGGACACACAAATATGTTCTTCTTTTGTAACACCGTTATGTTGGATGTTAAACATCCAAGATGCAAGACATCTGTGTCTAGCATGTCTCTTTTTAAATACCCACTGCAGATTAGCAAGAAGCCCAGGTGTGTGCAGAGGGCAGGTGAGTGGGAACAGGCTGGCAGGAGCTGGAGTCTCCCCAGGGCCTCGGACTCAGGTGGTGACAGCGCTGGGCGGGGTGGCAGGGGATGTCAGGAGCAGGAACGACAGTAGGTGGCAAGCCCACATCAGCCTATGTCTGTAGAGATCATGGGGCGAGTCAGGGCAGCCACACATCACTTTCCTGATGTTCAGCCAGGTCCTCAGTCCTTGTCTTCTGTGGCTGCCAGGTGGGCAGTGTGCGGGAAGGCGATGTCTGCATGTTGAGAGTGAGCAGCCTTGGTGTACAGGGGCTCCCTGGGACGGGTCCTTGGATGATGCTGTTGCGGGGAAGGCGGGGGAGAGTCAAAGCAGGGTAAATGCTGGGAAGCTGAAGCCCACAGCATGCCCCGTGCAAATATCTGCTCTCCTAACAGCCCCTCTCCCAAGGCCACTGTGGGGCAGGACACATGTCTGTTCATAATCTATTGTAAGTGACATCCTCGGACATGGTGGGGCAGCCCTTGGAGTGGCTGGGCACATCCCTGGGGCTGGCATGGGGAGCGGCAAGATCTGGAGCAAGGAGAGTGACGATGGTCCACTCAGTTGACATCTTACTGGTGCCGACTGGGCCTGGCTGCCTGAAATGAGGCTAATATGAACCGCCCATATGTCTTGTACTATTTAGTAGAAATTAAGGGCTGTTAGGTCCCTTCAGTGAGAGCACTTCGCTTTCCTCTCCTCTCCTCTCCTCTCCTCTCCTCTCCTCTCCTCTCCTCTCCTCTCCTCTCCTCTCTTCTCTTCTCCTTTCCTCTCTTCTCCTTTTTCTTTTTTTCCTTTTCTCTTTTCTTCTCTCCCTTCCCCTATCCTCCCCCGTCCCTCATTCCCTTCTTCCCACCCCTCTTTTCTTCCTTCTTTCCTGAATATCTACATCCCTAGTCCTTTTTATTTTGAGATAGGATCTCACTGAGTTTCCTACTCAGGCCTTGAACTTGCAATACTCCTGCCTCCGCCTCCCACATGCTGCAATTACAGATATGTGCCACCATATCCAGCTTGAAAACATTTGTTTCTTTTTCAAGTTATGGCTCTTCCTGTGTGTACCTTTCCAGATGATCTCTCAAGGTCAGAGTTAGTGGAGTACAGTGCTGTACTCCCTAGAGTTGACATCAGGGGCGCTTGAGAGAGGAGGGGTATGCTCCCTTCTCCCCTTAGTCTGTGTTGGGTTTTAGAGAGTTCGGCCCTCCTTGGCTACACCCAGAGAGGGCCCTCGCCCCTGGACTTCCACCGGTTGGCCACACTCTTCTAAGGACTTAAAGATGTCCGAGAACATCTCTGAGAGCCACAAACAGGAGGTGGCATTAGGAGGCCAGGCCCTGGTCTCCATACTGGAACCACAGGCTAGACCCCATTTCTGGCTGTCCTGCAGAGGACACCTTGCTTTGTCAGGTGCTTCACATGGTGGAATCTCTGAACAACGTTTACTCTAGGGTCTGAAGTCTGAGCAGGGCTCAGCAGGGCTGTTCTCTTGGTATCCCTGGGTGTGATGACACATTGTCCCCCAACTCCTACCCCCACCTCGCTCATATGCCGAGTGGGGCTGGTAGTCAGCTGGGCCCCCTCCCCCACTGGGCATGTCTCCAGCGAGCTTCTGCACGTCGTGTGGGTGGAGTCCGGATGGGGAGTGGATGCCTACACCACTGCTTTGTCCTGCTGGTCCAGTCAAGGCAGAGCAGCCGCAGCCCCAGGGCGAGGGGAGCATCCCCTTCTGATACAGGAGTGGCAGTGTGTGGCTGTGATTAATGTGTAAGCCACGTCACTCCACTTGGTTGCTAATCCTGCCTCCCCACCTTTTATCTGTCATCATCGATGTTTAGAATTTTTATTAATTGTAATTAAATGTATACCATATATCATAAAATGTACCATGCTCTTCTTTTTTTTTTTTTTTTTTGGTGCTGAGGAGTGAACCCTGGGGCCTCACACATGCTAAGCACATGCTGTACAACTGAGCTGCACCCCCAGCTCATGAACTGTATTTGAGTGCACAGTACAGCAGCATTTGCATATTATGTTCACATTGTTGTACAACCAGCAACACTATCCATCCAGAACTCTGTTTTTTGTTGTTGTGGTTATAGAATTGCATGTGTTTACAGAGTACAGAGAGATTTTTTGTGTATACATTGTGGAAAAATGTGTATACATTGTGGAATGATTAAATCAAGCTAGCTAACATATCCAGGCTCTTTCCATCTAGCGGAATTGACCTCTGTACCCAGTGAACATCGGCTCCCCAGCCCCGACAGCCGCTCTACATGGCAGGCTGGGAGGGAGGCTTGCCTGTCCCACAGGGGGTGGTCACAGTTGTCATCTTTTCCACTCATCTGTCAGTTTGGCAGTCATGTGCCCTTGGGGACCCACTGCATTCCTCTCTCATGCTACTGACATTTCAAAGGAAAAATCCTAGCACTCAGAATGCTCCAGACAGGGAGAGGCAGGAGAAGAGAAGATTCTTTGCATTCCCCAGGCAGTCTGGGGTGAGGGTCTGGAGAATGCCTGCGGAGGCAGGGCAGGCGGGGCAGGCAGAGCTGGCCCTGGGGACTCAGCCATCTCGCTCCCTCAGCTGTCTGGCTTCTTTCTGTCCAGCCCATTCTTTCACTTGATGTTCGGTGGGGGTTGTAAGTAGGCTGGAGTCGGGACCAGTTCTCTGATTATGAGGGCCAGCGTAGACCGTTGGAAGTGCGGACACCCTCCAGCCCTTGCTCTGGAGAAAGATGTGCTTGTGAACACAAGCAGGTCCCCTGCGTGGGTCCTTGGCAGGGGTATATATTCTGAATTCTTGCTCCTGGAGCTGTGTCTCGTTCTTGCCATGGGTCACATATGAGGTTCAAGAGAGCCACGTGACTGTCAGGAGAGAGGTTGGAACTCGGGCCAGAAGGGCCCTTGCATTGGGTACGGTGTGGTTCCAAGTCATGGTCTTACTCAGGCACCCTTCTTCCCCACCAGGCACACACTTCCAAGAAGCCCAGTACCCCAGTACCACATAGTCATATGTGCTCATGAATTGCCGGGGGCTGGGTCCTCTCCAGGGAGACCCCACCTCTGCTCAGTAGCCCCCTCCCTCCTCCTCTCTGCCTGTCCCCACCTCTCCCCCTGCTTTATACGCTTCCTTGCTCTCCCTGCAAGTGGGGTGGTGTGCCATCCCTTTGGCAGGGACCCTTCCTGGGTCTCCCCTGCAATCCCCCAGCCCATGCTGCTGCCCATCCACCTGTGTAGTCTTCCTCACCTGTGTGTCTGCTCGTTCCCACCCTGTCCCTCGATGAAGGTCTTGCCTGCTCTGCCAGCTCTGCGTAAATCTCATTTCTGATCACCCCTTTCACAGCACGGCTGAGGGGCTAGTGCTCTGCAGTCCTCACAGCAGCCCCTGCTGCAGAGGCGGAAATCAAGGAACAGGGTGGGGGTGTGGCTGAGGTGGCACTCAGAAGAGGGCCCAGGGAGACGCGCACATCCTCTGTGCGACTGGAGAAGTGCTTGAGATGGAGGTGGGGAGTGGCTTTTCTTTGTCCCTGTGAGTGTCAAGGTCCTGAGGGGTCCCTTAGCCTGGGCCACCTGGGTGGCCCATGCACTGCCCCCTGCAGCTTTCAACCTGCATGCCCCACTCAGGTTGCCAGAACCTCAGCGTACAGCATGTTTACAATCTCTGCACCCCTGGGCTCCCTGCCAGAGTTTGGGAGGCAAACACACAAGTGTATTACGTAGCCCCTGCTTGCTGCCCCAGTCCTGGGAATATCAGTCCTTGCCCAGTGTGTTCACGGCCCGATCGAGCCACTTCTTTGCCTGGCTGCCACTTCTCTGATTTTGTGGTCCTGGGAGTATTTCATGTTTCCCCTCTTC